ACAATAATGCGGAGAGTAGTAATTATGTTTAACCACTACTGAAAGATATAGTTTTTAAGGTTGGGAAAGATGCTGTGTGCTGGATGTGATTGTGGACCCAAACGCAGAGTAGAAGGAGGCCAAGATGAGTTTTTGCTGATTTTATCAAAAATACAACAGAAATAAAAACCAAGAACAAAACACAGGAAACCAAAAACCCAGAAAGGCCAGGGGAAACACACATTATGGGCCAAGTAATGACAAGAAACCATCACTGAGGAACTGCACAGGAGGTGTATATATTTGGGAGGCAGAACAAAGACTGTGGTAATCAGCTGACAGGGAGCAGGTGTGGATAGAAGCAATTAGAAACTAGGAGAAAGGAGACTGGCACAAGGGGAGACAACAGAGAGGAACACAAAAAACAAAACTCTGCTTAAATATAACTAGAAAACAACTACAATGACACAAAACAGAATGACATAAATAACTACAAATTTCAAAAAGAAACTCAAAAAGAGGTCCAATGGGGAGAACCATAACACATAGAGGACTTACAAAGGCACCCAAAATTCACACATACATAGAATACAGACACTACTTTAGTTTTCCTATTTTTGAGACTCCAATGACTTGGTTTAATGCACATGCCTTTTTTAACAGGGTATGAAAATATATTTGAGACTGTTGCTAATCTATTTCAAAAGTGAAAAAACTAAGTAGTCACATTTATGTCACTATTTGCAGCCTTTGTTTTATATTTTATTGTTGCACATTTGGCAGAAATTTTAATTATAGCCTCAAGTTTTCTCCTGAAAACAATGCTACAAGCTTAGCAAAGAAATCTTAAGACAGTTTTGTCAATTTTATTTCCAGATTACCTTAAGCCCCATTGGTCTTCCAAATTGAAGCTTCTCTCTCCACATAGAGCAGAGGAGTTCTGACAGAGGGAACTGACAAAAAGGGTCTTCCTAAGTAAAATCTCTACATGAGTAAAATCTGAGAGCATGAACTTTTGCACGTGTTTTCTGTTATCTCTGTGTTTTCTCGTCATCCACAGAGAAGTTTGCAGCTGTTTCATTGTTCTGAGTCACAGGAACTTTCAAAATCATAATTGGGCAACTTTGAACTCAAACTGTTGTGTTTTTTTTTCTTTTTTATAATTTCTCCTCCGTTGAACAGCAATTTGAAATTAAAGTTATGTGCTACAGAGCATCTGAAGCTGTTCTTTTTTTGTTTATGGAGAACTTTGTTGTGGTGAACCAAAGTGTAAAGGCTTTGGACAGCACTGAAATGGATGCCTTGTTTTTTCTGGCATTTAGACTTAGCAAAAAACAGAAAGGTGTGGGAAGAGGCTTCAACTGTCTGACCATTACAGCCAATAAAGTGTAAAAATAACACAAGATTACAATAATTTAGATCGATTGTGGTAGGTAGAGATGGAACAGAATGTTTTTTCTGACCTACTGGACAAAAATGTACACAATATAAATATTTGGAAACCACATCTTAAGGAGAATCTTGTATGTATGTAAATTCAGTAAAACCTAATTTGTAGTTTTGTTGCACATCTTGTTTTTGCACTTCAGCAAGGCTTTATGTAATGACAGTGACATCTGAACTACAAATCACCTAAAAAGGCTCATTTAGGCAAGACTGGACATGAAAACCTAACCTATGCTTCTCTCTAGATATATAGGAAAGCAGTGGAGCATCTGGAAAGCCTAATTATAGTAACATTTACATTTGACTTCCTCTTTTGAATTCTCCTGGACCTTTTACCTGATGAAGAAAGCAAAACAACGGCTCTTATTTTTTGGAAAGCTTAAATGGACTAGTCTCTCTTTTTATCCCTGCACAAACTTCTACAGGGCCCCCATTGAAACATTCTTTTTACAAGTGTGACAGTGTTGTAGGGGAGCTGCCCTTCACAGAATAAGAAGGACAGGTGCTGAGGGAAGCACCAGGAATTGTGAGATACTATGAAAGAAATCTGCCCTCGTTTTATGATGCATGATTCCAGAAAAGGCCCAGACACATTGTCACAGATCCCAGCTAACCAGGGAACATACTTTTCCCAGCTGTTCCATCACAAACAACTTTTAAACTGCATTACATCCAGAACAATTAAAAACTGATTTTTTTTCCACTTAAACTGTAAAGGCAGTCAACCCCATGTATTTATCCATACCCCTGGATAAAAAGTCATAAAGATGCTTGCTCTATCATGGAGCCACACACACAAACATAATCACATATACAGTATACATACCAACAGCCCCCCTCAAAAATCAAACAGATCACAGCCCATTATATAGACTGGTCTGGCACAAGCTGCACCTTATTCTACATTACACCAGGATAAAGATATGAGAAGTGCTGGGTGGGCAGGAAGTGATTATTGGATGATCTGGGGAGACTTGCTTCAAGGTTTGGGATGAGAAGATACTGAGGGGGTGCAGCTCTCCGGATATGGCTTTATCCGATGATTCTTAGGGCCCCACAGATGGAACCTGCAACAAAGAGAAGATGATAAAGACTGAGCAAGTAGGGATGAGGGTGATGAGACAAAAAGGGATGAGGATTATTGAGTGAAGGGGAGAAAGAGGGATGAGGGTGATGGGAAGGAGGAGGGATGAGGTGAGAAGGGTTTGAGGGAAATTGGTTGTTGGGTCCAAAGAATTTGACAGACAGTGCAGGTTTGGTGAACTGGGTATAAGTAGACTGCTAGGTAAATAGGGTGTGGCTGAGATGTGGTACTTGCTTCCAAACCTAGAAAACATTTTTACTCCAATTCTATGTAGAGATATGTTTCTTTTAAGAATATGAATAGGATTTTTTAAGTTGTCTTGCAAAGTTTTTCTTCTTATTTATTCCCCTAAAGGTGTTCCTTTATAAGTGGCTTCTAAGTTTAAATTTTTTCTGGTTTTATTTTCTGTTTGTGAGTGTCATGTGTGCATTCTAAGCTGGGATTATCTTCTGGCAAGATGAGGCTAGTTTTTTTTAAATAGCATATTTTAATAGTAAAACCATTGAAAGTGCTGCACATGAAAAACGAAAGATAATACAAAAACAAAACAAAAAAGTACATTGCAGCGGCATAACACTAATTTAATAATTAATAAGCATTAATACCCGTGATCTTCCATCACTTCATCTGTCAGTGTTGTAGTGGGGCTGGTGCCTATCTACTGTATAGTAGTCTATGGGTGAAGGAAAGGATATACACTGGACATGTCACCAGTCCATCACAGGGCTTATTAAAGATTATGAATACATAAAGTTGATTAAAATGAATAATTAAAGTACTAAAATGTTTTAAAAAAAAAGAACAATAAAATGAACTTTAACCAGCAATGTTAAACTAGCACAATCAAAGGCAAGTCTACAGGTTTTTAACCTTTATTTAAAGCTATTTAGGGTTTTAGCAGTTTTCAGAAAGATTGTTTTAGATTAGTAAAGCATAATGACTGAAAGCTGCTTCAAATTCCATTATGGTTTCATAACTACAATATATATAATGATTCTTGATGTATTTACCCAAGTGCAAGACAACTTACGCAAAAAATTAAGAGACAGTCAACAGGGGTAGTCACGAACATTTTAATAGAAGCTTTTGTTACTTTTTACTTCTGTTGGTCATGTTTTTTTAAAATTAGTTTTGCATCTATTTTGTTCCAACAACAAGCTGTAAAACTACACTCCTCTCCCGTAAACAGTAAGTGGCAAATGCTGGTGAGGAGGACGGTTGTTGTACTTGGAAACTAGTGTACGGTGTGCATTTGCAGGAAAAAAGGTTATCAGTAACAATTATCAGCTCTCAGGAATTAAGAAAAAAATACTTTTTTTTCTTGAGAATGGAGGATGTCCTCAAATGTAGAAATCTCATATTATTGCACTGTGCTGCTCATTGGAGCAGTTGGAAACACTGCTGCCTTGCAGCAAGAAGGTTCCGGGTTCGGTTTCCAGCCCAAGATCTTTCTGCATGAAGTTTGCATGTTCTCCCTGTACATACGTGGATTCTCTGTAGGAAATGAGGCTAGCTGTGAGTGTGTGTGAAAGGTTTTTTGTTCCATTTGTCTATGTGATGCCCTGCAATGTACTGGGTGTCCCCTGCCTTTCGCCTGTAGACAGCTGTAGATATCCACCATGGAATTTACAGCAGTGCAATCAACTCTCAGGATTACAATAAAAAAAAACTTGTTAAATGTAAAAATATGAGATTTTCAACTGCGTTCTTTCCCAGTTTTTATCTTTTAAGGATCCAATACCGACACTGCTGGTTGGAGATGTTTCCACATCAGAGTAACAATATCACTTAGAACCACAGAACAGACTACAGCTACAATAGGTTTGATGCTGTGAGCATTTTTTAAGTTAACACTATCTGACAACTTTTCCCGTGATATTAATCTACAAAACCCCCATTTAAATTAATCTTGAACTTTCATAGAAAGCTGGAAAATCTATTACAGTATTTTCACGACTATAA